TTTAATTAGGCTGTAAACTTTATTTGAATTACTCAGTCACCCATCCAACCAATCTATTGATCCAAACAAGAAAATTAAACTCAATCTAATCGAATCAATATAACTCTAACAAAAATATATTACTGATCTCCAAATTTTTTTTATTAAAAAAAATAGAAAAGATCTCTCACTTGTAAATAACATATTACACAACAAAAGAAGAAGAAGAAGGAAGAAGAAGAAGAAAAAAAAAAGAAAAAAAAAACCAATAGTAATTTGGTTCACATATCCATAGAGCTAAAAAAAAAAAGAGAGAAGTTTGTAAAGCTAGATTACATCAATTAAATCCAACCCATGTTTCCATTGGACCTATCTTCTTCTCTTATTTGATATCACCACGATTCGTTCTTGATATCACTATTTTTTTTTTTTTTTCTCTTCTTTGATCTTATCTTTTCATATATAATATCACCACGATTTGTAACGACCTTAATTTGTACATATTTAGAATCGTTATTAACGTCTCATGCTCATCTCTAATGCGGAAATATAATTCTTAAAATGAACATCATTTATAACATAAACTTCGAAAACGCTTAAAACAACTTTTTCTCTTGAAAACATAGTTATGGTATTACGTGTTTAAATATGAAATACTGAAATTTAGAGAAAATAAAAAAAAAATACAAAATAATACTTAAATTTAGAGAAAAAAAAATACAAAATAATTTAAAACAATGAAATGCAAAACAACCTATCTACCCTGTGCACGTGTCATAGTCTCTGCTCGCGATGTCGCCGTCCTCCGTACAGGTGGGTCTTGCCTTGACCTGAAAAATGATGTGACACATTGTAACAGCGTCAAGCCCACTACTAGCAGATATTGTCCTCTTTGGGTTCTCCGTTTCGGGCTTCCCCTCAAGGCTTTAAAACGTGTTTGCAAGGGAAAGGTTTCCACATCCTTATAAAGGGTATTTCGTTCTCCACCCCAACCAATGTGGGACTCTCACACACACGGCCTGAGTATTTCAAAGAATACTGAGTAAGTGGCCCCACTATAGGGGTCATGCAAATGCAAACACATGCAATCATGATTTAGGGACCTATCTCTAACATTATAGGGGTGGTCTCCAGTCTTGACAAATTGGATGTGTAGTACTTCCCTATACACAACTCACACCTGCGAGTGTGAATCCTCAGGGTGCTCGTACACCCCCTGGACCCTCTGATTAAGCTAATCTATAGCGGAAGGTTAGTATGACTACAAGTTAACTAGTTTAAATCATTAGGAGTAAGTTTAAATTATTTTATGCTTAAATTATTATGAGTAAGTCTAAAATATTTTATGCAAAACTAGGTGAGATGATTCCGGTTAAGGATATTTAGTGAGAATGTCTGTTTAATCCACCCCACCTAAATGGTGCGAAAGTTATCTATTTATAATCAAATAAATTATAAAGATATGGAAAAATTAATAAATGAAAATAACAATAAATGGAAAAATACTTATGGTAAGAAGGCAAATATAGATATTTGCCTTATAATAAAATATCAAAGATGATATATATGATAAACTATAATTTAGTACTAAATATCCTTAACACCTCCCGCAAGCTGAGCGTCAGATTTGAACGAACGTGAAGCTTGGATATGAAAAATTCAAAGAGAGGTCGAGAAACACTTTTCGTGAAGATGTCGACAACCTGGTTTGGAGGAGGTGTAGAAGAACACTTTCTTAGCCATCGAAAACTGCAGAGGGATCATCGCTCAGCGGCGATGCTGCCTTGGCTTCGGCGAGAATATGTCTAACCCATGAAGAGGGATCGTCGCTCAGCAATGATTTTGCCTTGGCTCCAGTGAGAATATGTCTAACCCAAGAAGTAGGAGGGAAAACCTAGAGCAAGGAACAAAGACAGTGTTGAAGTTGGAAGAGTTGCCACAATGGGCGAAGGAGCCAATTTTGGCGAGAAGGACGACGACGACTTGGTTGGAGAAGAGGCCAGTGCGATGCCCAGATTCCAAAAATAAATCTCTGCAAAAGGTCGATGGACTTATCGAGATTCCGTACATTTTCAAAGAGAACGCTGACGAGGATCTTGAGATTAAGGTTTCTGTGAAGGCTGAAGGGAAGGCTGAAGGGAAGACTGGGAAGAAAATGAAAGAAGTTATGTTGGTTGAGGGAAAACCAATTTTGTTGGAAAAGGTGAGGTTGTATGTGAGTATGGCAAAAGGTGATTTGGAGGTCAAAAGGGTGGAGCCAAAGAGTAATCAATCGGCTCCACATGTGGCAGTCATGGAGACGGCCCCTGCAGGGTCAAAGCTAGCAGTGGTGGTGGAGAAGAACAATAGAGGTTTCAAAAGCCATTAAAAAGAAAGGATCAGGGTTGCTAAACTGAAAAGGCTCTGATACCATTGAGAATGTTTGCGTAATCCACATCACCTATATGGTGTGAAAGTTATTTATTTATAATCAAATAAATTACAATGATGTGTAAAGAACAATAAATGGAAAAATACTTATGGTAAGAAGGCAAATATCTAGATATTTGTCTTATAATAAAATATCAAATATGATATATATGGTAAACTATAATTTAGTACTAAATATCCTTAACAATTCTATCATATAATTCTAATTTATGATTGTTGCAAAATTGAATTTCAGAGAGCAACGCTAAGTTAGAATCAAGAAGTCATAATAGCTTCGTCCTAAGCAAACTAAGTGACATTATTATCGACTCGATCGAAAGACTTGTTTTATATATGACGACACGTACCTAGTGGCCCTTGCACGCTTTATGTTATATGATGACTTGATGATGCTATATGATAACTTGATTATGTTAGATAATGATGTGATTATGTTATATGATGATTGATGATGTTATATGATGACTTAATGATGTTAGATAATGATGTGATGATGTTATATGATATGTGATGATGTACATGATGTATAATAATAAGATAATGCAAGATATATGATGATGAAATAACTTAATATGATGATGTTCCATATTAAGATGATGGGCATGTATTACATATCGCAATGCATCATAACGACGAGTTTTCAAAGACATAACCCTAGTTAATGTTAATGATGATGAATGTATAAAAATCAATGTGTGCATGTTACTTAGAGTAATGTGTGAACGGTAAATAGGGTTGCATCATAAAGATGATTTAAAGATGAAAACTATAGGGATCTCATGCATTTTGTGTGTTCATATACATCGAGATACTTTCCCATTTATGATGATGAGTACGGACGCATACACTATGATGATGATGACGGTCATGCCTCGCATGACCTTCAAAAGTCTGCTGACCTCTGAACATTGCAACGGACAACTTGCTTGACTATGATGGGTCCAGGGGGTGCGAATCGCCTAGGGATCCATGCTCGAACGTGTGGGTCGTGAGTAGGTAAATACTACATATCCAATTTTGTCCGAACTGGAGGCCACCCCTATGATAGTTTTTAATGATAGGTCCCTAGATCATGAGTTGCATGTGTTTGCATTCTCTCACCTCAACAGTGAAGTCAGTTACTGAGTATTTAGTTAAAGTACGGAAGCCATGAGCTACTTCTATTTTAGATAAAAGTAAGATTTCCTTATACGTCTGGCGACCACATTGCAATCCGAGACCATAACACATGCATAGGGTAGTCACATTTATTTTCTTAGACTTCGATTAGAATAGAGTGTTTTTAATTTTTACGTTTATTTATTTAATTTAGTATTTCGTTATGTTATTTTAAAGATGTTTTCGAACACATAAGTTCATAATAGTGTTTTAAGATAAAGTTTTAACTATTTAATTTTGCATATAAGTATAAATGATGACGACGGTAGCGATTCTAGGTAAGTGAAAATTTTGAGTCGTTACTAATAAAAACTAAATTCTATTTTTCAAACTTATTAAGAATTCAAATGTATTGGTAAAAAAGTAAAAATCTAAACTAATAAGTAAAAATATATCCTAAAGTTCTTAAGTATAATTGAATTTTGTGACTTTATGTAAAGTGTATCACCATTTTTCAATCAAATCATAGCCACAAATTTAAATTTTGAGAGTAAAAACAATGAATATTTTGAAAGTTAACCTTTAAAACATATGAAATTTTTGCAATAATTTTGTTTTGAAAATCAAATTTGAATGGAAGGATATGTAACTTTATTTCCTCACGTGAATCGTGGAAGGAATATTGTACGAATGTTAGACAAGAAAAATCAATTAAAGCTGCTACCTCATGTCAGCAACATTGACAAAGAAAATTTTTAAAATATTTTGTCCTTATGCTTTTTTTTCTTTTTTTATCTTTCAAGAAATTAACCATTTAATTTTTGGTAATTAAAAAATGAAATTAATCTTGCAACTATTTTTGTTTTTTATTTTAGTTTAAAAGTTTTAATTTTATTCTATAAAATATTTATTTGGAGAGGAGAACGAAACATTGTTGAGGGTAGGGAAACATCTCCCTAATAGACCCATTTTAAAATCGTGAAATTGACGGCGATATGTAACATGTCATAGTGAACAATATCTGTTAGTTTGGGCTCGATTTATTACAATTTATTTTTAGGAATATAAAATTTATTTTGTAAGCGTAATATAAAGCATCGAAAAAAAAAAAAAAAAGAGATTATTTCCTTTGGTTGTATGAAGACGTGTGAGATCCCACGTTGATTGGAGAGAGGAACAAAACACTCCTTGATGTAGAAACCTCTCTCTAGTCGACGCGTTTTAAAACTATGAGGTTAATTACAATACGTAATGAGTCAAAGTGGACAATAACTGTCAGTGGAGACTCGAGTTGTGACATTAATTTTGTAGATAGAAAGAATTAAGATTAAAATAATGGAGAAACTTAAGTTCAAAACCTACGTTTAAAAATTATGACTTAAAATTTCCTCACGGTTTATATAATTAGTGTTGAGGATCGCTGGAGTTCACCTGGCTAATGATTTTGGAGAAACTGAAAGTCAAAATATAGAGTTTATATAATGCTACAGGGGAGATTCGTTGTTTCTATCAATTAGCACAGAAATCGTAATTTAACTTGCATATCTCCGAAATCAAGATGACATGAGTTACACCAATGCATTTTTTTTCATTATCCTTACAAAACAGAAGATGAACACGAACACGAACACGAACATAACTAGTTGAGATAAAAAAAAACGCTTTTCAAATCCAAATTTTAGAAACTCGAACTTAAACAAACTCGAAAGATAATGTTTTAGAGGGATTTGGAACGTATCATTTGCATTTACCAAGTGGCTTTCCACACAAGCACTTGTTATTAGAATAGGAGTAGACATCGAAGCTCTGCAACTTCCCTCCGACCGGAATCCGACCACAAAGCTTGTTGTAACTAACATTCAGCAGCTGCAACTGCAAGTTAACTGCCATCACAGGAATTTCCCCGAAGATCTTATTATGGTTAAGATCCAACCAAGTCAAGCTCCGAGGAAGTACGACCTTCGACATGTCGAACTCCAACAAGTTCCTCGACAAGTCGACGATCTCCGTCGTCTTCTTCCCTCCGAATATCACCGATCCATCGCCCTCGAGCCTGTTCCTCGACAAATCAATCACATTGAAATCCACTCTCTCCAAGGAAGTTGGAATTTTCCCAGAGAGTTGGTTGTGTGAAAGATAAAGATAAGGGATTTTTCCCTTGAAGTTTCCGAATGAATCGGGGATCGGTCCGGTTAATTTGTTTCGGTCTAAATGGAGAGTGCCGAGGCGTTGGAGGTTGGCGAGGGAGCTCGGGATGGAGCCGGTGAGTCGGTTGAAAGAGAGGTCGAGAAGATCGAGATTGGTGAGGGAGCTGAGGAAGTTTGGGATTGAACCAGTTAGACTGTTCCAACTTAGGTCAAGGTATTTTAGGTTATGGAGTTTGGCAATGGCGGGTTGGATGGGGCCAGTGAGATTTGGAAGCTTGTGGAACATGAGGTTTTCGAGGTACGGGAGGTCGCCGACGAACGGTGGGATTTGACCCGAGAGCCTCGTGTCGGCGAAGATGGTGAGAGACACGATCCGGTGGGACTTCCGATCACATTCGACGCAGTACCAAGTGCAACAATCTTCTTCAGGCTTCCATGAGGTGAGAATGTAGGGATTGTTGAAGGCTTTTTTGATGTTGAGAAGGGCTTTCTTGTCATTTGGATGGCAGAGCTCTGCAAATGAAATGGTGAAGAATAGGAAGAAGATGAAGAGGAAGGTGGATGGAGAAGAAGACATTGTTGGTGAGGGTTTGAGATGGATTGATGTACAAAATTGAAAGAGATGATAGCTCTTTATAAACGAATTCGAGAGATTCTATATTGGTTGGAGTGGGAGCGAACCACGAACTATTTTTTATAAAGATATGGAAACCTCTCCTTAAAAGACGCGTTTTAAAAATCGTGAGACTGATGCTATACGTACAAATTATATTAGAGCCAGACACTGAGTAATGGGTCATCGAGTTCATTCGGTTCCCCAAGGAGTGAATTGTGAGATCCCACATCGATTCAAGAGGGAAACGAATCATTCTTTATACGAGTGTGGAAACCTGTCTCTAAAAGAAGCATTTTAAAAACCATGAGACTGACGACTATACGTACAAATGGTATGAGAGCCAAACACCGGGCAGTGTGCCAGTGAGGATGCTTAAAAAGTCTCAAATTTAGGATTGTCCGACATACGAAAAATGATATAAGAGCCTACGATAGCATTTTTTTGTAAACTATCATATCTATTATTTCTTGTCGTGAAACAAGTGACTTTCTCCCATCGTATTCTATCGTGCAAAAAGTAGTTTTAGATAATAATAATAATAATAAATTTTGTTCAAAATATATATAGTCGCTTGCATACTTTTAACATGACACATATAGTTTAACAAACACGATTTATAAGGTAATTAAGTTAAATTAAAAAGATAATTAAAGTTTAGTTAAGTAGATAAATTAAAAAGAAATTTACACAATTTTGCATTGCTGTTAGGTGCACAAAAGGTGTGACCTTTCTAATAATTAATGTCTTTCTTTTTCACTATAGGTAAAGCACTCTTGTACCGATGATAATATAGTCGTGCAAGCTATGAAAATGAAGTTAGGAGAATTGTATTATCGCTATAAAAAGTCTTCGGCCTAGTCCAGCATCTACACTCCAGCCCACACGTAAACCACCCACGAACATTAGCAACCTACACACACCTGTCCGACCTGAGACATAGTCACACTAGCCCGAACTACCAATTGTGCGTTAACCTGAGCCTTAACTGCACTTACAACAATAATGTTCTTTTTATTAAGTTATTTATGTTGAGAATGATTAGAAAGGAGTCCCACGTTTATTTAAATTTATGTTCAAAGTGAACAATATCATATATAGGTATAGAGATCCATGATTTCTAACACTTTTCAATTCTTACGCATCTCACCACTCCACTAGAAATTTCATCCGCCCTTACCGTAATCTTTCATGAAACAATTAAATCTCCCTGAAAAGTGATAGTAAGAGCGTACCTTTTCAACTTCAACCAGTCAAAAATGTGCATCCAATAACATTTTAAAAGACAAAAATTTCAAGTCTAGAGTGAATAAAAATTTCTATTTACATCATTTCCACTGCCTAAACGAGGCCATTCTTTACCTCTCCCTCTATATCTGTGGTAAACTAACCATGGAAGACCCTACAGCAACGAGATAGCCTTATATATATATATATATATATATATATATATATATATATATATATATATATATAGTAAATGCTTATTAAACATCTAAAAGCAAAGATGGTTCTTGCAAATGAAAAGGATTCAAATTCTGAGTGAGTCTGATGATCTCTTTCTCCTTCCCTCTGATCAACGAGCGTTCTTGACCAAAGCAATCATCAGCAGATGGTTGATCCAAATTCTGAGTGAGTCTGATGATTGCCATTGCCAAGAGGGCAAAGAGGGGGAAGGAGTTTGGACTTTGATGTGGGCGTTGTCTAATTCTGGGCGTGTCTTTGTTGAACTGAATCAACGAAATGACATTAAAGTGCGAACTCTTTTCTCCCTCTCTGCTTTCTTCGCACTGCTTGTCCTTTTCAATTTCTGCAGCTCCTCCATTACTACTTTCTCCACCTTGTCTATGGAGTTCAAAAGCTTATTCTGGGGAGTCAGAGTCTCTGCCCCTCCCACGTTTTGATTTGTGATTCCACGAAGAATCTTTGGCACTTTGCCTATGGTTGCCTTTGGGGTGACCAGAAAAATGCTTGCCTCTAAAACTCTTTCGTCCGAGGGAGCAGGACTAATATCACTTCCTGGGCCTTTGTTTTCTTTCATGCGAGCTCTTGTTCTTTCAATTGCCTGATTAAAAGCAAAATAAGTTGAAAACTATAAAAATGGGAATCTGAAGAACATATATAAAAGCATGAGCGACAATTCACTATTGAACCCATTACTAATAGATATTGTTAGCTTGGGTTGTTACGTATCGTCGTTAGTCTCACAATTTTAGAACGCATTTACTAGAGGGAGGTTTCTTCACTCTTATGAAAAATGCTTCGTTCCTTCCCCCTCTCCAACCAATATGGGATCTCATAATCCATCTCTTTTGGGGGCCCAACGTCCTCACTAGCACGTCGCTTGATGTCTAACTTTGATACCATTTGTACTAGGCCAAAGCAGATAATATCTATTGGCAGTGAGCTTGTGTTGTTATAAATGATATCAGAGAAAGACACCACGCAATGTGACAACAAGGACGTTGTTCCACAAGGGGCTGAATTGTGAGATCCCATTCACATTGGTTGGAGAGGGAACAAAATATTCCTTTATAAGAGGTGGAAACCGCTCCCTAGTAGATGCGTTTTAAAATCTTGAGGGGAATGATCTTGAAGAGAGCACAAAAAAGATAATATCAACTAGTGGTGAGCTTAAACTATTGTAGCTACTCATTAACATCCCGAAAGACTGAAAAGATCCCGAAAGACGTGAAAAGATGGGGAAATATTCCCCATAGACAGCAAAAATATCAGGGAACCAACTTACAGAGATGGGAAGATTCTAGATGAATGATGCACAAACACAAGCACGTGACATAGTGAAGGTGCGATGCATTTATACCTCGATAAGATATTTGCTGGAAAATGAGGTCACAAAAAGCATACATTTTTAAAAACCATGCATCTATTTTTCTACATTACTAAGATCATTTGCTTGGAGAACACAAATTGAGCTACGAATTCCGATAGAAATAACACCCAGAAGCGAGCACACGATTTTATGAAGGAAGCCCATTAGGGTTTTGGCCCATTCACAAGTATCAAACACATGTTTAATAAGCATTATAAACGTCCCACAAGGAAATGATAATATCAGTGTTAATATGTATTTCAATCAGAATGTTAAACTATTATTGCTTGTGTATGTGTATTTTTTACATCCAAATTACAGCTTTCACATAGGGCCAAAATGATCATTGGGTATCAAGTCAACACATACTAGTAACCAGCCAAAGCATATTTGAGCCCACCAAAAAGTAGTTCTAAAAACAGGTGAAAATGAAGCCTAAAAAACAATTAGAATCAAAGAAAAAAATAATTAATTAATACCAAAAAAGGAGCATTATGATAGCTTTAATTAATGGTGGACAGGATCTCATTATCCAGACTGTTGATGTTTCATATGAAATCATTGGGCATGGACGTTACAAAACCAAAAGAATCTTCTTTTTAGACAAACAGGTTGGTAGAACATAGCTTAAAAGCACTGAAAATTTATTGATTAATTAACTTAAAGAAAAAGGAAAGTGATCCAACCTAAGAATTCACTAAAAGAATTAGAGATAGCATTAACATTTTCAGTCGAAAATCGATTCAAATCAAATCAAACCTAATGCTACCAACTGAAAAACAGAAACAAGAATAACAACTACACCAGAAAATCAAAAGGATCTTTCCCGAAGATCAAGCAAATTCAATTTTGAATGACTCCAAACAAGTATACTGTATCAGAGAACAATATAATACCAGAGACCATATGCAATAACAATGAGAGTGAATTTTCCATATATCATATGAATCAAATTCACTGGATACTACATCCAAGTAATCCACAAAATTATACGCAGAACAGAACAAAATATTGAAAGATTTTAGCAGAACAAAAACAAAGTAACGGGATTAGTCATTTACCCTCACAACTGCAGTTATGTCGCGGAGAGGAGTTCTTGGATACCAAATCGGTAACACACTATTCCTCCCCCGAGATCTACTCCGCCGGGAGCTCCCAGCCACCGCATTCTCGCGGCTCAACACAGGAGATCTGTAGAGAAATCTATTTCGCCCAATTCCACCAGAAATGGGAGAACCAAAACTGCGTCTCAGATTCGTAGGTCTTTGTTGATCTGTAGTCGTCGTTGTGGCGCGAGAAATCGGAGTCCTTAACAAATTAGTACTCATTTCTTTCTCATCCAATATACCTTCCGATCTCCAACGAGCAAATACCTCGGCATGATCTACTTGCCTCTCCAATCTATCTCTTGATTCCGACATTATGGAACTTCAAAAGGAAACGACAAGAAAACAATCATTTCAAAGAAAAAGAAAACAAGAGAAGCCCTAATATAACTCTACAGTAACAAGAACTCAGAATCTTTCAGTTTCAAACCAAAACTCACTATCAAACCTACATTTCAGTTCTACATTTACACACAAAAAAAAAAAAAAAAAAAAAAAAAAAAAAAAAAAAAAAAAAATGGGAAAANTGAGATTCCAGTGAGCTTCAATGGAGTATTCTCGTGTCCTTTGACAAAAAATAATCTTACAAAAACCAAAAAAACAATGGCGGCGGATTGGAGGGAGGCGCTGTTCTGCAAAACGCGCAGTCGAAAAAATGAGAGGGAAGAAGATGGAGCTGATTAGAAGAGAAGGCGAAATTTTTGGCGGATTTCAAATGCCAAATTTTGGGCGCTACTTAAACCCATTTTTAATTTTTTTTTTTTTTGGCTTAAATTTATTACACGTGGCATTTCTTTTTTTTTTTTTTGTTTAATTTGAAATTTGTGGTTTGAATTTCAAATTTGTTGGAAGAGCGGGATATTTTTTTTTTTTTTTCTCTTTTTTTGCAATCTAAATTTTATTTAGCTTATGGTATGTTGATGTGAAATGACTATAAAGCCCTTATGTTTTATAGTGACATTATAGCGTTAATCGAGTTTGAGGAGATCAGTAGGTAATTGAGCGGATTAAGGTATCAATTATTATCTTAAAGATTAATGATTTGATGTTCCGATAATTATTAAATTTATTTCTTGAACTTTGAAATTTGTATTTATTTAGTCACTGAACATTCAAAATTACTAATCTCGAAATTTCATTGAACCATAGGTGTCGAACCAAACTACATTAGGCTTGAATGCTCAGTATCACAACCATACTATAAAGAGGGTAAGTTGTGACCCTCACGTCATGACAAGCAAAGCGTCGTCTCTCAAGAGACGTCCATCCGGTCATATGTGGGCCAATATAGAAGAATGTCATGATGTGATCGAGGAGGTTGCTACATACACCCGCTATCCGGTACGATATCCGTAAATGACTCGACATGGGCACGGGAGGGCCTATGCCACGATAGAACCCGAATGGATGGATGTTCGGGAAGTCCCAATGAGATGAACGACACGCGGGCCTATTCTCGATGGGGATCGAGATGGCAAGATGAGATGCAACGTTGTATTGAGAGACTTTGGCCCGAGCAGAGCCAAGGTCGAGCCGAATGACTTGGCCTAGAGTAGAGGCAAGTCAGATGTGTCGCAGACGATTGAACATGCACGCGCAGGTGGCGTGTGTGGTTGAACTAGCTTGGATTCCGCACAAGTGATGTTCGATTGGCGAAGACAAATCTCACCTAAGGTCCGGCGAAGCCACAAAGCCGGGGTAAAAAATATATATGGGGCTTAATTCCCCTCAAGGCTAGTCGTGAGCGTGTCAAGATCACGACGCCGCACGGTAAAAAATGTAGGACCGTGACACTCAGCAGCATAGATGACAACCTTAACCCATGCAAACGTGGCCCGTGTCAGTCCCCTCGACTCGTTCTGCCTCCAACCCACACACACGCTTGGTCGTGCCCAACGCCTCATCCCAAAAATCGTGGGCATAGTCCAGCAACACTCTAGCCCATAGACGCGCACCGTTCTGCCCACAGATGCAACCCGAACACTCGACTTGACCTAGAACATGACCCTTGCCTCACATCTCTAACCCATGACTCGTATCTGATCTTACCTATATTGCAACCTATGCACCTCCTCCAGCCTTGGTTTGCCTCGACTTAGGCAACTTTCCACTCGAATTGGAATATATTTAGGTTTGGTTGTATGCATGACATGCACTCTATGGTCTATCTACGTGTTATTTTTTTTATACACTATGTTACGCTATGATTATATTATGCTTATGAATACTGAACTCCTAGGTTAGGAGCTTGCTGCTTATTTATAGCTTAGTAACTATATATATAATAAAAAGCTTAGTAAATAGCGATGCTATATACGGTAGATAGTTAGTTATATATGGTAGATAGTTATATATAGTAGATGGTTATATATGGTAAAGCTATATAAAGTAACCTAAACCATATATATATATATCCGTCTGTCAGAGCTCTGAAAATGTACTTCCTATCATTTCTCTATTCTCTATTGCTGTACAACAAATTCCTTAGCCAATATTCTCCTTACATTTTCTCTATCCTGTTCTGTGTGTTCATCTCGATTGAGTGTGTATTGTTGTGCGATCCTAACATAAACCTATGTATGTTATGATACTATGATCATGAGACATTGATTAACCTTGTATGATAATAATGAAAGATATGTCATGTACTTGTATACATGTCTCACAAGAAAATTATGTCAGGAAAAGAATGGAAGTATGATGTGTATCGTAACCATGTACCATGATTTGAAGTCACGTGACCTCATGCATGTTGTATATTACGAGCAAATGATATTTTTTCAGTATATTTTATACAGGCGCGCAGACCATGATACGATGCACACTATTTTTTTTTTTTTTTTCTGTTACTTTTTGGCAATGTGAGTTGTGTTCGTAGTAAGGCCTAGGGGTATGTATACAGGCTCATCTAATAGGTTCATGCACACATACATGAACCGTGTGTAGAGAAGTACTACGCTTCCAACCCTATCCGAAAAAGAAAGTAGAGCTCAAGGAATAGTCACAAAAAGATAAGTCCACATCAACCATGATTGCATGCAATTGCATTTTCCGACCCCAAAATAGTTTAGTTACATGTTTAGAATCATTCAGCTTGACATGATTAATATGGTCTGTGGAGTGATTTGAATCTCAAACAAATATTCTTACGTTGGAATGTTTGATCAACAAGGTAATTTGAATTTTACTTTTTCTTGGAGTGATTCCGTATCATTAGGGTTAAGTTTCTTTGTAATTCGACGTAGTTTAAGTTGCATGTTTGTTGTCTTGAGACATTCAATCAACAAGGTAATTTAAATCTTATGATTCCTTATCAGTAGTTGATCAAGATACCAATGAGATAATGGAGCACGTGTTCAGCTGCCTATCAGTCTTCCATTGATCTCGTCCTCTCTCAATTGTTCGTTTTGCCATCGTTCCATGCCAGCCTTTCATTGTATTGTTATTCATCGTGCCTCTCAATCTATCCCAACTCGGTTGAGTTCAGTCAGATTGCTTTCTTTAATCAAGTTGGTTGGATTAACGAAACAACCAATCAAAAAATCGTATCATCACATTACAAAATTCGGGTTCCTTATTTCTTTACTAGACTGTTCCTTCCCGATGCCGGGAAGGACAATCCAGACTCGTCTCGAACATTCTTAAGTCAATTAGAGAGAGAGCGAGAGAGAGATCCATGGGGGTATCAAGCCGGTCTCTATACAAATTAGTAATACATTGAATTCATTTTTCTTAGTATAAATCAAAGTGGAATAGAAAAACAATGTCCCAACTCAAATGATTATGGAATCATGTGAAGTTCACGAAGCAAAACAACACCCTTTTTTCACAGAATCTTGGTCTTGTCCAGGAACAATAATATTAGTTCCTTTAAACAGCGCCGCATTCCCACTAATATCTATTGCTTCCCCAGCTGCAAGGCTCTTCTTGCTGATTATCCTATAAATCTCTTTTAGAATTGTGAAGAACGCAGTCTCGACGTTTGTCGACTCGAGCGCTGATGTCTCCATGAAGAACAGGTTCTCTCTTTCTGCAAATTCTTGTGCATCTTCTGTTGGCACTGCTCTGAGGCTTCCTAAGTCGCATTTGTTTCCGATCAGCATTATAACGATGTTCTTATCGGCATGTCCTCTTAGTTCTTCCAGCCACCGGGACATGTGATCGAACGACTGGCGCTTCGTCATATCGTAAACCAGCATCGCTCCCACTGCACCTCTGTAGTATGCACTTGTCACTGCTCTGTACCTGGCAAGCGAAAAAATGAGATGGCTTCAGGAACTATAACCAATTTAACAGCAACATTCACGACTTAACGACATATCAACATCGAGCTCTGGGATTAAAGGAAAACTCTGAATTGTTGATACCATAAAATCCAAATATCGAACTCTGTTTTTCATTGAGTTTCATGTTTTCAGATCGCTTGCCAAATGTACCTTTAGTAATTAGCTAAGGAATTTTGATAGCAGGGATTTGTTACAAGTAAAGTTGTGAGATCTCACATCGGTTGGAGAGGGGAACGGGAACGAAACATTCTTTATAAGGGTGTGGAAACATCTCTCTAGCAGACGTGTTTTAAAGACCTTGAGGGGAAGCCCAAAAGGAAAAGCCCGAAGAGGACAATATCGGCTAGCGGTGAGCTTGGCTGTTACAAATGGTATTAGAGCCAGACAACGTATGGTGTGCCAGCGAGGACACTGGGCCTCGAAGGAGAGTGGATTGTGAGATCCCACATTGATTTGAGAGAGGAACGAGTGCTAGCGAGGACGTTGGGTACCAAAGGGGGGTGGATTGTGAGATCCCACATCGATTTGAGAGAGGAACGAGTGCTAGCGAGGACGTTGGGCATTGAAGGGGGGTGGATTGTGAGATCCCACGTCGGATGGAGAGGGGAACGAAGCATTCCTTATAAGGGTGTGGAAACCTTTCCGTAGTAGATGCGTTTTAAAAACCTTGAGGGGAAGCTCGAAAGGGAAAGGCTAAAGAGGACAATATCGGCTAGCGGTGAGCTTGGCTGTTACAAATGGTATCAGAGCCAGACACCAGATGGTGTGCCAGCAAGGACACTAGACCTCGAAGGAGAGTAGATTGTGAGATCCCACATCAAATTGAGAGAGAAACGAGTGCTAGCGAGGAGGCTGGGCACCAAAGGGGGTGGATTATGAGATCCCACATTGATTTGAGAGAAGAACGAGTGCTGGCGAGGATGCTGGGCATCGAAAGGGGGTGGATTGTGAGATCCCACATCGGATGGAAAAGGGAACGAAGCATTCCTTATAAGGGTGTGGAAACCTCTCCGTAGCAGACACGTTTTAAAAACCTTGAAGGGAAGCTCGAAAGGGAAAGCCTAAAGAGGAATTGTTTAGTGCGTTTAGGCTAGAGTAAGAAAACCATGTCCCCAGTCTTAGAAGTAATGTCCCATCTATGCTAACCTAACCCCACCGCTACTAGATATTGTTCTCTTTGAACTTTTCTTCTCGGCCTTCACTTCAAAGTTTTTAACACGCATCTGTTAGGGAGAAGTTTCCACACTCTTATAAAGAATGCTTCGTTCCCCTCTCCAACCGATGTGGGACTCACACATATGCTAACCTCTCTCCCCTTTTATATGCATTCCCATACGATGGCCACACTACTCCGAACTACCCGAGTCCCACATAACACACCCTTCACCTTCACATTAGATTGCTTCTAGCAACTCCTTCTCTCGTGTCTTTTCAGAGCAAACATAAAATGAACCTATGGCTCACCAATCCTATCAGAGAAGTTTCATTTAATCTGAAACAGCTACAGCTAAATACAATATAAACGGCAACCCAATATGAAAGATGTAAGCAGAAGAGGAAATAACTTCAACTAGACATCATTATCTAACACACCCACGTTTCACTTCTTCAGATGATATCCACCTAAGACTTGGTAGACAAATAGATATCTACATTCTCTTTGGAATACAGATTAAACAACAACCATACAAGTCATAACTCTATTTGAGGCTTCCGAGCTCGTTGTGGTCTAACCGTTGGGAATCACGAATCTCCGTAATAGTATGATACTGTCCACTTTGAGCATAAGCTCTTGTGGTTCCCCAAAAGGCCTTATACCAATGGAGATGTATTCTTTACTAATGTGGGACTCTCTCCCAACCGTCCTCCCCTTGAACAAAGTACACTATAGGGCCTCCCTCGAGGCCTATGAAGCCCTCAAACAGGCTCTCCTTAATTGAGGTTCGACTCCATCTCTAGAGTCCTCGAACAAAGTACACCCTTTATTCAACACTTGAGTCACTTTTGACTACACTTCAACATTTAAGGATTCTATTGACATTGCTAATTTAAGGGCATGACTCTGATACCATGTTAGGAATCACGAATCTAGCATAAGCTCTCGTGGCTTTGCTTTGGGCTTCCCGAAAAATTCTCGTATCAATGGAGATGTATTCCTTACTTCTAAACCCAGGATTCACGGACTCTCTCCCAACCATCCTCAACACAACACTCAACACAACACTGACTCTATCTTCTATCATACAATCATTCATTTTATTCAACCTAACAATTACGACAAAGCTCAAGAACATATATGCATTTTACAGATCCAAACATTGAACAATGAAGTAGTTTCCACAAGAAAGAAACCCAAAAGAATCAAGGGGCACTTACCGTTCTTGTCCAGCAGTATCCCATATCTGGGCCTTCACTGTTTTCTGATCAATAACAAGAGTTTTAGTCTGAAACTCGACTCCAATAGTAGCTTTGGAATCAACGCTAAATTCATCCCGTGAAAATCGAGCAAGGAGTTGGGTTTTGCCGACGGCCGAATCTCCGATCAACACAACTTTGAAAACATAATCAATCTTCTGGTTAAAATCCCCATATAGATTCGACATTCTCTTCCTCTCCAAATTCCCACAAACCCCACTTCGAAAACGCGCAGATTACACGCATAACAACACTATAACCCCAACCAAATTGCCCATTTCCCGATCGTTACAAGTAAGGGAAGGGAAGCTGAATAATCGATCATCTCCCTGGAATTGGACCCAGAAGAGAAATTAGGGCAAAATAGTTGGGAGGGGAATTGAAATGAGAGGTGGGGTTTGAAGGGAATTTCAGAGAATAGTGAGTGGAGGTTGGAATGCTGGGATTGAAGAAGATGAAGGGGAGGAAGAAGAGAGATTGAAAAGAGAGCGAGAAGTGGAATTAGAACAACGGCCATTGTGGGGGTATCACCAACGGTTTTGTGGCCTTCAACGTGTAAAATTAGGCTTCAAAATGGATATGCATCTACTAAATTCGGTGTCATTTTGAGTCTGGTATCATAATCGCAATCGCACTCTTGAGAGCAATAGATTTGCGATTGTGCGGTACTCATTTTTCAACGACAAATGAGCTAAGCAAATTCGTTCTTGTGTCGCCTACGGGCAAGCGACGTATGCTCGAGTCTCTGGCCTCGGTTTAAGAAGAAGGTTCTAGAAAACGAGGGCAGAGAGAGATTTTTGAAAGATACGTTGTATAAGCAAGCAAGAGAGTAACAACAACAGCTCAGAATATATATATACTTGGGTAGGGAGAAGTTGACAACTAGTCCTATTCCTTATGTACATTCTGAGTCATTTCATGTCCTATGTACATTCTGAGCCATTTCATGTCTAGCAGGCCTAGACATGAATTTTTCGAAACATGTAAAGACATAAAGGGTTTGGCTTGTCATGGGCATGCAGCCATGGGTAACACGCCTTGGACGAGCATGATCGTGACACCCCGCTCATCAAACTCACCATCACGTCACCAAAAATATTTGTTCATGTTTTTTAGGAACGCAAAATTGGAGTGTTTATATGACCCAAGATCCCGACCAATCTAAATGTTGAACGAACATGACTGTCCACAATGATATTGTCCACTTTGAGTATAAGCTCTCGTGGCTTTGCCCAGAAGGCCTCCCACGAATGGAGAGAGTATTCTTTGATTATAAACGCATGAACATTCCCTAAATTAGCCGATATGGGACTTTCATCATCCAACACGAAATAGGTTTATAATCTAACCTTACCCTACCGTACCCTACTTTTAAGATTATTACGAAGATTAAAAATATTTGACCTTTATAACCGATATTAGTGATACATCGTGACGTGAATGTTTGATGTTTGAGATTTATGTTATTTTAATTATAATGTAATATATATGGTAGATAAGTAGAAGTTTTAAAAATAATTGAGAAACAGACAACTTGAAAATAGAGGATTAGGTTAAGTTGTGAACTCTACTCCCGTTAGTCAGATCACCAATCCAACCAACTCGAAAGTTCAGATTGGTCCAAAAAGATTTTTTCAACCGAACATATATACGCTCCTACTTTTCAATTTAGCTAAATTACAAATTAATATTTGGATTATTAGATTCGTTTCATTTCGGGTAAGAAATATTACCAACATTGTATACAAATTTTATAATAGAGCAAGATAGGAGTGTTTATATGACTCGAGATCCTGACTAATCCGAACTTCTCAGACTACCCAACCCAAACCATAAAAGTTGGATTGTGTTAGTTTTTTTTTTTTTTTTTTTTTCCGAGGTGGGTTGTTTTGAATTTTGGAAAACTAAAAAATTTGGGTCACCTCGCAGGTTGTCATTTATTCGGTTGGATTAACTCGAACAACTCGAAAATAGGTTTATAATCCAACCCAATTCTAACCCTACTTTTAAAATTATTAAGAAAATAAAAAATATATAACTTTTATAACCGATATTAGTGATATATTGTGACAAGTGAATGTTTAATGTTTGAGCTTGATGTAATTTTAATTATTACAATAAATAAGAATTCAAAAATATTTTAAAATTTTAAAAAAAAGTAACAAATTGTAAAGGGCAAAAATGGCATTTTTCAAATTTTAAGAAAATTTGACGATTTTTAATTAATTATATAGAGAAGGAATGTCAAGGTGGTCAAGAATGGAATGACCAAAAAAGTAAAGAATTTTTTGAAAACGTAATAATAATATATTTTTAAAAAATAGCAAATGACCAAAATACCCCTAAAGTTTAAGATAATTATGAATGAACTACACCAAATACCACATCTCTCCATCTAATTATTCGATCTGTTCACTTTCTTGCCTTTAATCTCAAATTAATTAATTGATATTTTGATGATAATAAACTAAACCCGTTGATATGTTCTAGAAGACGCACAATTCATCAAATCTAATGGTTGGAATTTAAAATGAAGATCAACGAGCTCATATCGTAAAAGATATTTTAATTTTGATATACTCTAGAAGATGCAAAACTCGTCAAATTTAATAGTTGGAATTTAATGGGAAGGTCAACGAGCCCCGGTAGACGTTGGGATTTTAATTGTCGATCTTAACATAAATATCAAATCGAGCAATATCAAATTAAAGGTATTTTGGAAACCCTTTTCAAAGTTTTAGTGTATTTTTAAGATAAAGTGTTAACGTTTTCCGTCCAAATTTTTTTTTTCTTTTGAAAATTTAATAGTATTTTTTTTAGACTAAGTGTAAAATTCGAGAATAATTTTTAATTTAGCTAAAGTTATTCCAATGGTCGGTATAATTTCCCTTTTGGTCGACTATTTAAAACGAGTCAGTTCCAAGAAAAAACTTCCTTTCTCATCACGGGAAGAAGCAACGGATCCACGATCGAAGAAAAAAGAGTAAGTGAAAATGCAAAAGAGTACGAAAAGAAAAGGAAATGGTAAATCAATCTTTTCGTTCATGTTTGTTAAAAGTGAGGAACTAATCGATTAGTTTTCTAGCATCCAATGTTATAGACGGAAAAACTCCCAAGACTTTCTTTTTTTTTTTTTAAGACAAATTCATCGTTTTTCGCTTGCCGAAAAGGAATCCTATGACCTTTTCTTGTTGTCACTTTTTAGTACCTTGACTCATCAAAGTTCTATAAACTATATTATAATCTACGAGGGTCCATTGCACAATCACACTTTTGCTGCAGCGGAAAAGTGATTGTGCGTTCTAACCCAGCAGAAATTCGAACTTTACAAACAATACGGTGAATGCTCGAGTCTCGAGTCACGTTTGAAAGAAATATTTTGAAAAATATGAGCGAGGAAATAGTTAAAAACAATTGTAAAGAAGATAGTGTTATAAGCTAAAATAGGAAGAATTGACAACTAGTCACATTCACCTACACTACATTTTGAATCATTTTAGCCCCTAGCGGGTGTAGACATGATTTTGGTGACCGGTCATGTACTCATGTATTGACACAATAATAATAATAGTAAAAGTCTATCTAACATGAAAACGAGTAGAAGGGGTTTGGAACGGGCATGCGGCTATAGGCAATACGTCATGGACAAGCATAGTCGAGACATCCGACATGCAGAGCTACGAACAACATGTCTTAGACAAACATGACCGTGACACCCACCGTTGGATTCATCCAAACACGAGAAAAAAGGAAGAACTTTCATTTCTTAATGGCACAACTCTTGGACTGTTGTTGTTAGCCTAATTCGTCACATATCTCACACCTACCTACACAATCTGAAAACAATGTTACAACATACTACTTTTCACTGATATTTGATTCGATCGAGACACTCCGACACCATTCTCATTCTCGGACGCAGCTCGGGATCAAGCTCGGTGCAATTCAGTGCAATATGAAACATCGAAACTACTTGTTTCTTAGCATAAATCTCAGGCACAAGTGCAGGGTCGATAACATCAGTCAATGGCCGCTCTTCTTGAAACGCCTTTCTCACGAAACATTCCAACCCCTTCCCATCATTTTCCGATACGACATCGGCCAATCTACCGCTCAAAAGCTCAAGAATCACAATCCCGAACGAGTACACGTCGCATTTCTGCGTGTACTTCCCTCCAAACTCACGAACCTCTGGCGCCAAGTACATCGCCGAGGGACTCGAAATGCTTGACCCCATGATTGAGCTTATCATGTTCTGGTTTGAGCTCAACTTCTTGGAGGAGGTTGGAGTGAACTTAGGTGCTCCTTGGCCGAGACGACTAAGTCCAAAACCTGAAATGTAAGGCTCGAAATCATCGTCGAGAAGGATTTTTGTCGATTTTATGTTTCCATGTACGTATTTTCGGGCACCGAATTCATGAATGTAGGCCAAACCCCTTGCAGCTCCTTGAGCAATTTTTAACCTTGCAGACCATGGCAGAGGTGACAAAGAACTCGACGGACTTCCTGCAATAAACATCACGAGATCGTCACTGATTCCGAAAGGAAATACGAGTCGTTAAGCTACACCGACATTAGAACGCGTCATAAACGAAAGTATAGATCTCGAGATCCTTTCACATTCTGCATAAGAATAAAATATGGGAAGTAAAAGTCCAAAACATCGTCACAAGATATGAGAACAGAGAGCATATAATATGACAAACCACAAACAGACACATTTTAAAAACCTTGAGGGGAAACTCGAAAGGGAAAGCCCAGAGAAGACAATATATGCTAGGTGTACTTTGATCGTTACAAATGGTGTAAGAGTCAGACACCAAGCGATGTGCCAACGAGAAGGTTGAGCCTTGAAGGTAGGTGGACACGAGGCGATTTGCCAGTAAGGACGTTGGACCCGAATGAGTATTGGGATCCCACATCAATTGAGGAGGAGAACAAAGCATTCTTTGTGACGGTGTGGAAACCTCTCCCTAACAAACGTGTTTTAAAAATGTTGAGGAGAAATCCGAAAGGAAAAACCCAAACAAGACAATATCGGCTAGCGGTGAATAGAGATTTCGAGGTTAATTAGATTGATAACTCGAACAACTTGAATAGAGTTTTCAACCCAACTCGGGTTATCTAACTATATTAGCTGCTTTTAGTATCATGAAACGTCATTTTCGAGGTTAAATGTGAATTACAATGATTATTACTCAAAATATTGAAGCACTAAAATGAATTGACAATACGACCTCCTATTTCCTATAATTATTAAACCAAGCTTATTTGAACAAATCACGTGACAACATATTTGAAATAATTAGGGTTCACATTAAACCAAATGCATTTTTATATAATTACTTTCTTTATTTTATTTATAAAAATTAAATTATCATTACAATCCTTCAATGTCAAGCAACAAAAACAAAATATATAATAATAACAACGAGACAAACGGCTATTATTCGTAAATTTACAAGTCACAATACATCACTAACCTCGTTTATAAACGTTAAATATTTTGGATTATAACTCTGTATTCGGGTTGGTCTGCTGTTGGATGAAAATCTCATATCGGATAATTTAGGGAATGATCATGGGTTTAGGGTCAAAGAATACTATCTCCATTGGAATGAGCACAAAGTAAAGTCAGTTTATGCTCAAAGTGGACAATATCATACCATTATGGAGAGTCAGTGTTCATCTAACATGATATTAGAGCCATGCTCTAAAGCTTAGTCATGCCAATAGAATCATCAAATGTCGAACAAATGGCTCCAAAGGAAAAAGGAGTCGATGCTCCTCAAAGGCATAGTAAAAAATGACTAAGACTCTAAAAGAAAAGGAGTCAAGCCTCAATTGAGGAGAGACGTACTTTGTTCGAGGGGAGATGTTGGATGAAAGTCCCTCATCGGCTAATTTAGGGAATGATCATCGACTCTTAGCCAAAGAATACAATACTCTATCTCCATTGTGAGACCTTTTTGGGGAAGCCCAAAGCAAAATCATGCTTAGGCTACTATATCATACTATTGTGGAGAGTCCTGCTCATCTAACAGGTCTGGTTGACTGGATAAAAAAAAAATGTCAACTTGTGAACTGACCCAAATTTTCGGTTTTCTAAAAAATTCAAATCTAACCTAATCCAACTTTGGCTTGGGTTGAGTCGAAACTTTTAAAATTATAAATTTATTCTCTAAACTCTTGATCTAACGGACATAAAATTAAAAATTATTTAATTAATTACAAAATATATATATACCTCGTAGATCTAGACGAAACTCCGATCTTCTGTCTCTCTCTGCTCACACACGATCAAGGTTTCCGGCGTTCTCAAGTGCAAGGCTTCCCGCTGAATGGTGATTTTTGGAAGAATCGAGAAGGGAGACGGAAGGAAAAAAAAACAGTCTGCGATCGTAGAGGTAAGAAGAAAAAAAAAGGGGAGGGGAAATTGAGGAAGAGGAAGGCTGTCTTTCCCCCGCGCAGCCCGGCCCAGCATGGGCGCGCGGCCCGGCACGGACGTGCGGCCCGGCACGGACGTGCGGCCCGTCAAGGGCGCGCGACTAGCTCGTGCCGCCTGGACGCGCGGCTCAGTAGGGGCCCAGCCTGCGACAGCTGGCCTAGTGTGGTCTGATTGGGCTGAGCTCTTTTTGTGTAATTCATCCGTTTTAACTCTGATTTTGGCACTGTTATCACCCGTATTCCTGTTTTTCTAACGTAGATATTATTCGAGGAGTTTGACAAATTTTGGAACTCTTGTCGAACAAAAAAAAAAAAAAAGAATATCACGCTGCCCAGGTAAGTGGCACCTCGGAACCTTGGATTTAGCTTTGCTCATAGTATGCATGAAATTATGGTATAAGAAGTATGTTTTAGAAGCTTGAGCATAAATGAGTTGAGATGACATGTTGAATGTGATTAGGTATATTTGTTGAAACTTTAGTGAAACGCGTATGCAACTACCTTCTGAACTGAGATTCATGACTAGCTTTCCATGATTAGATTATTAAGTTATGCCTCCATTACGCATGTTACAGTACTAGTGGTTATCCGGGGACGATTAGGGGTTCGCCAACTAACCCTTAATCGTAAATCTGACTCGATTGTCAGGGGTCTGCGTAACCATAGAACTGGTGTTTAATATTATCATAGTGAAACCTGAAAAGCATCAACACCATAGGACATACGTCATGGAATAAAAACTTATCATACCCATCTTAAACCCTTTTTTTGTTTAATATTAAAGTATTAGAGTTCCATATTTTTTTAACGTGGTTTCATTGTAATTTTTTAATCGAAGATTTCTCTTTTTTTTTTTTTTTTTTTTAAGTTGATGGCGTAACAAGCCAAAGTGAACAATATCTACTAGTAGTGGATTTGTGCTATTATAAATGGTATTAGAGTTAGTCACCAAACGGTGTGAAATACTAGTCGGAGTAGGGTTAGACTCTTTCTACGATAGACGTGTTTTAAAATCATGACGCTAACATCAATACTATCTCCTAATATATCATATTAAACTAAGTTAATAAGCATTGCTTAATATATATCGTACAAAAAAAGCAAGGGGAAACAATAAGAGACTTCCAAAATGAAGGGTGCGGTGGAAACCACCGTTTTTAGGGTTTAAATTCAAATTTTGTATTCTTTTGAGGGTCTTCGTGAAAAGTGAAAAAAAAAAAATAATTTGAAGTTGGTGTGCCAAAAGTGAAACAGGATAAAGTTGTTATTTTTAAGGACTTTTTTGTTTTGTTCTTTTGTCAGAGACAATACCTATGCTTTTCAGGTTTCACTATGGAGGGTAGTTTCGTCAATATTTAAAACTAATCATTTTAATGACAATCGAGATATTCATTTAATTTGCGGGATGATTAGTTATCGCCTTTAGACTTTTCATTTCGAGTTTATTGTCAAGGTTTCAACCGATGTGGGATCTCACAATCCATTTTCCTTTGGAGCCCAGGGTCAACCGACACTCGTTCCCTTCCCCAATCGATATGCGACCCCCCAATCCCTTCATGCTGGCCCACCGCCTCATGTCCACCTCCTTTCAGAGCTCACCAGCGATGACTTCTAGCTCTAATATCATTTGTAACAACTCAAGCTCATCGCTAGCAGATATTGACTTCTTTGTCTTGCCCTTTCGAATTTTTTAAAATGTATCTACTAGAGAGAAGTTTCGACAGTTTTGATGTTTCATTCTTCTTGCTAACCAATGTGGGATCTCACAATTAGAACAGCAGAAACTCGTCCTGAATCGAGTCAAAAATCCTCATTTAAATGAAAGGAGAAGTGAAGAGAGAATTTTCGCAATTTGCTAAATGGGATCGGAAATAGAGATTATTCCATGTCTTTGTCCCCGCTAAATCTTCGTTCCACCTAACCCCACATATAATAATACGTTGTAATATTGAAATTTGAGTTTTATGTTAGAATTTTTTCGAAATTCATTAAAACAATTCTTTCAAATTAACATTTAAAAAATAAAAAATAAAAAAATGGGTAAAATTTTTGTGCTCCAAACTTGATTTTTCCAACAATAAATAAATTTTTTTGTGAGAATAAAAATTGAAATAAGAAGTAGAGAAAAACACGAAAATTTTTTATGAACATCTTTAGATGCATCAACTATGCAAAAACAAGTTTATGCTCGTGCATAACCGAAATGATATGTTAAGAATGAGAAATAGAAATAGAATTGGGATCGAAAGTATGATCTTCATTCAGGTTTACCACGTTTAAATAGGATACAAACTATCAACTAATACCTAAAAATAGAAAAAATATATATCTAATTAAATCTGGTAAATAAATAAAATATACGGTTAATCAAATCTATACTAACAACTCCCTAAATATCTAAGATATATTCTAACTAATTATCACGGCAAAATATCCTCTTAATACTCCCCCTCAAGTTGGAGAGTGTATGTCGATCACACCCAACTTGTCCTTCAAAAAGTCAAATTGCTGTCTTCCCAAAGCTTTAGTAAAAACATCTGCTAATTGCATTTTAGTCGAAACATATCACGGTTTGATGATTCCAGCTTGTAATTTTTCTCGAACTATATGACAATCTATTTCAATGTGTTTCGTACGTTCATGAAAAACTGGATTGACTGCTATATGTAATGCTGCTTGATTATCACAATATAATAATGCTGGTTCGGACAGTGGAACATTCAAGTCTTGAAGAATGTATCTTAACCAAGTTAACTCTAAACAAGTATTTGCCATAGCTCGATACTCGGCTTCTGCTGATGATCTGGACACATTAGTCTGCTTTTTAGACTTCCAAGAAATAATTGAATTTCCGAGGAAAATGCAGAACCCAGAAATAGATCGTCTGGAAGTTCGACAACCACCCCAGTCAGAATCGCAATATGCCTGTAATCTTAAATTGTTTTCAAATGGCAGTAGAAGTCCTTGACCAGGAGTGCCTTTGATGTACCTCAGAACTCGAAGAGCTGCCTCCCAATGTGGTTTTCTTGGTTCATGCATAAATTGGCTAAGCATACGAACTGAATAAGCTATGTCAGGCCTAGTAACGGTCAAATATATTAATCTGCCAATCAACCGTCTGTATTTACTTGGATCATTCAACTTCTCTCCTTTAGTTAAAGAAAGTTTCAGATTTTGCTCCATAGGAAATTTGTCTGGACGTGCTCTTGTAAGACCTGTGTCTTGAAGGATATCTAGAGCATACTTCCTTTGAGACATAAAAATTCCTTTTCTAGATCGAGAAAATTCAATGTCTAGAAAATATTTCAAATTTCCTAAATCTTTGATAAGAAATTTCTGGAGTAAACTAGTCTTGAGATATTGAATTTCTTCGAGATCATTGCCTGTCAACAGAATATCATCAACATAGATTAGAACTGCAGTGAAAGAAGTACCTTTACTCTTAGTAAACAAAGAGTAATCTACTTTGGACTGAGTGTAGCCTGCATTTTGTATAGTTGTAGAAAATATGGAGAACCAATTGCGAGAAGCTTGTTTTAATCCATAAACAGATTTATGGAGCCGACATACTGTATTCTCCCCCTGTCGGCGAAGACCTGGTGGTAAAGACATATAAACTTCCTCGTCTAGATTACCATGGAGAAAGGCATTTTGAACATCCAACTGATGGGTGAACCATTTTCGAGCAGCAGCAACAGTGAGTAAGCAACGAAGTGTAGTAAGTTTCGCTGTAGGGGAAAATGTTTCTGTGTAATCAATACCTTCAACCTGAGTGTACCCCTTTGCTACTAGTCGAGCTTTATAACGTTCAACAGAACCATCAGAGTTGTATTTAATTTTGTACACCCAACGACAACCAATAGCTTTATGACCAAGTGGTAGAGGAGCGAGAGACCATGTATGATTACGTTCCAAAGCTGCAATTTCATCATTCATAGCCTGCTGCCATAACGGGTCGCCAACTGTCTCGTCATAGGTTTTAGGTTCTGTCTGGGATGTAATAAGAGCTAGAAAAGCACGTTGAGTAGGAGAAAAACGAGAGAATGAAAGGTAATGATGAAGGAGATACCTGGTGCCAGTGCCGGGACTTGAGCTAGAGGTTAAATGATTGGCTCCAGAAGACATCTCATAATCCTTATGCCAAGCTGGAGGCTGTTTAGTACGAGTAGAACGTCGAAGTGGAGCTGATGTATCAGGTGGGATAGAATTGGAATTAGTAGGCGAATCTGGAGAAGGTGGAGGAGACGACGGAGTAGTAGGTGAAGGGATAGGAGGTGAAGGAGGAGTAGGAGGTGAAGGAATAGGAGGTGAAGGAGGAGTAGGAGGTGAAGGAATAGAAGGTGGAGGATGGATGTTTGAGTAGGATGGATCATGAAGTGGTACAACAGGAGTCGAAGGAGCTAATGTCGAAGTTTGTGAAGCTGATGAAAAAGGAAAATCATCTTCACAAAATTTGACATCACGGCTGATAAAGAATGTGTGAGACTGCATGTCATACAACTTGTAACCTTTATGACCACAAGGATATCCTACGAAAACACAAGGAGTTGCCCTAGGTTCAAATTTTTGCTTAGGATGTACTATAGTTGCATAACATTTACAACCAAAAACTTTAAGATGATGAAATGTAGGTGGTCGTTTGTAGAGTGCTTCAAAGGGTGTCTTGTTAGATAATAATGGTGATGGCGTTCTATTTATAAGATAAACAGCCGTTAAAATGCACTCTCCCCAAAATTAAGTGGAACCTGTGACTGAAAAAGAAGAGACCTAGCTACATTTAGGATATGGCGATGTTTGCGTTCTACGACTCCATTTTGTTGTGGAGTATAGACACAAGTGCACTGAAATTCAATACCACAAGAAGTAAAGAATGGTTGCAAAGATAGGAACTCAGTCCCATTGTCTGATCGAACTATCTTGATAGTAGTATGAAATTGAGTTTGAACGAATTTAACAAAGTTCATTAACAAATGATGTACTTATGACTTATGTTGCATTAAAAAAACCCAAGTACATCGAGTAAAATCATCAACAATAGTGAGAAAAAAACGTAAACCAGAATGGGTAGGAATTTTATGTGGTCCCCAAACATCACAATGTATCAGATCAAAAGCAGAATGGGTTGTTATTGAACTTCTTGGGAAAGACAACCTAGTTTGTTTTGCTAACGGGCAGATACTACAATTATGAGAATAACTCGCATTATTAAGATGCAATTGATCAGCTAGAAATTTAAAACGAGAAAAGGAAGGATGACCTAGGCGTAAATGCCACAAATCAGATGACTGAGATACTTGATGAGCTGAAGACTTGATTGGAGATGAAGAAATATGATAGAGACCTCCAAATTGTTTACCCGAGCCAATCATCTTCCCCGTAGCCAAGTCCTGCATAACACAAGAATCAGGATAGAAGGTGACATAACATTTCAAGTTATTGGTAAGTTTGTTGATCGACATTAGGTTTAAATTGAATGAAGGCACACATAAAGCGTTGTTTAATTTAAGGTTAGGGCTAAGAGAAATATTGCCAGTATGTGACACACGTGCTGTCTCTCCATTAGGCAAATTTATTGTAGACATGATGGCAGCCTTTGGTTCAGTCATAACAGAAGATTTTGATACTATATGATCCGTAGCTCCACTATCGAGAATCCATGAATTAGAACTCGCAGAGTTAATAGATAATGTAGATATGGGAAACAAACCTGCAACATTGATGTGATTGTCAGAATTACCAGAAGGGTGATGATTG